GAGTCTGGACCAGACAATCCAGTGATCGATATCATGAACATCGATACACACAATTGGGATCGATGACATGCATCAACCAAGTCAGCGAGTCTGACCACCCGATCCCGTTTGTCGCCTTTTACGACAAGCATAGTCGCCTTTTACGGCAAGCATGGGTTGCTGAAGAGCTATTCTATCCCGGCTCTTCACGGGTTACGGCATTAAGGGGATACAACAGGGGCTGTCGGCTCGGTGTCAGTATACTGTGTGTGAGTAGGGTATCCATGTTAAACTGCGACATGGTATCTCGGAGGGATAGCAAAATAAAACCCTCATTAGTCTGGCCTTATACAAGCAGACACAGACAGAATGATATAGACAGAAACGAACACAGGCACACATACAGACACTTACACACCCCGCATGTGTGGGGCTAGACCGCAGTCGCAGAAGCTCCCATGCGTCAGGCTCATTTTAGTGTCAAAACGAACCTGTAATAGCGAATTGGTAAAGGGTAGATTTCATGATAGAATGGAAAACATGAGCAAAATTATTTCACTATTTTTCTCTTTTGTCAAAACGGAAGCATGATATACACCAAAACCGATGGTGTCTCGTTAAATGTCAAACACGATCATTTTTCATTTCTAAGCAAATCTAAAGAGTTATTTTATTACGTATGGTCAAAACTGTGGTGCCCGCCGTACATGATATGGTCCCATCTGTATCCGACATAGCCCCATCTGTATCTTACTTGGTTCCATCTGCATCTCACTTGGTCCCATCTGTATCTCACATGGTCCAATCTGTATCTCACATGGTCCCATCTGTATCTCAGTTGGTCCCATCTGTATCTCACTTGGTCCCATCTGTATCTCACATGGTCCAATCTGTATCTCACTTGGTCCCATCTGTATCTCACTTGGTCCCATCTGTATCTCACTTGGTCCCATCTGTATCTGACATGGTCCAATATGTGTCTGAAGCAGTCCCAGATGAATCTGAAATGGCCCCAGCTGTGTCTGACGCGGACAAATCTGAATCTGACATGGTCCCATCTGTATCTGGCATATTCCAATCTGTACCTGGCATTGATGCAGCTGTGTCTGAATTAGTCCCAACAGCATCGGACCTGGTCCCTGTATCTGACATGGTATCATCAGTATTATACATGTCCCCAGGTGTACATGCCATGGTTCCAACTGAATCTGATATGGTTCCATCACTTTCTGAGATTGATGCAACTCCATCTGAATTTGTCCTAAAAGAATCTGACATGGTCTCATCTGTATCTGACATGGTCCAATCAGTATCTGACATGGTCCCATCTATATCGGACGTTGGTGCAGCTGTATCTGACTTTGTACCAACTACATCTGACATGGTCCCATCTGTATCATCTATTGAAGTAACTGTATCTGAATTGGTCCCAACAGGATCGGACTTGGTTCCATATGTATCTGACATGGCTTCATCAGTATCATACATGTCCCCAGGTGTACATGGCATGGTCCCAACTGTATCTGATATGGTTCCATCACTTTCTGGCGTTGATGCAGCTGTATCAGACATGGTGCTAGCTCTATCTGATATGGTCCTAGCTTCATCTGACATGGTCCCATCTTCATTTGACATTGTCCCATCTGTATCTGACATAGTCGTAGTTTTATCTGACGTAATTCCAGCTGTATCTGACATTGATTCAGCTGTATCTGACTTTGTCCAATCTGACTCTGACTTCGTTTCAGCTGTATATGACTTCGTCCTCGCTCTATCTGACATTGATTCAGCTGTATCTGACTTTGTCCAATCTGACTCTGACTTCGTTTCAGCTGTATATGACTTCGTCCTCGCTCTATCTGACATTGATTCAGCTGTATCTGACGCGGTACAATATGAATCTGACTTAGTGCCAGCTGAATCCGACATTGCCCTAGCTCTATCTGACATTGATTCAGATGTATCTAACGCGGTGCAATCTGACTCTGACTTGGTTCCAGCTGTTTCTAACATTATCCTCGCTCTGTCTGACGCGGTCCCAGCCGTATCTGACGTCTCCCAAGCTCTATCCGACGTTGATTCAGCTGTATCGGATATTACCTCTTCTGTATCTGACAGTGTCACCTCAGTATCTGACTTCGTCCCAGTCGTATCTGACATGGTCCCACCACTATCTGACATTGTCCTAGCTCTATCTGACGCGGTCCCATTTGTATCTGACTTGGTTCCAGCTGTATATGACGCGGTCCCAGGTGTATCTGACATGGTCCAATCAGTATCTGACATTGTCTTAGCTCTATCTGACGCGGTCCCATTTGTATCTGACTTCGTCCAATCTGTTTCTGACTTGGTTGCAGCTGTATATGACGCGGTCCCAGTCGTATCTGACTTAGTCCAAGCTCTTTCCGACATTGATTCAGCTGTATCTGATATGACCCCTTCTGTATCTGACAGGGTCAGCTCAGTATCTGACTTCGCCCAAGCTGTATCTGACATGGTCCCATCAGTATTAGTCATTGTCTCAAATGTATTTGACATGGTCAAGCCAGTGGTTGTAATAAAATAATAATTAATGCTTAATACATTCATATGCGGATAAACACAGTCAACAATTCATTCATTGGCAACTAGATGCATACAGCAAGCACTCGGTAACTACGAGGGACTGGCACGTGTGGGATTGATCAGCTGATCACGTGCAGCAACCCACACGAACACAATTTCTTTCAGTGGTCATGCCCCTGACGCGAACACACTTGCTAAGCACAAACATAATTTGACAGTCGAAGGTGTTCTTCATTACAAGAAGACTCATAGAGTCGATTGTGTGGCGACGAAATGAATATTGCTTTCCCATAGAGTAGATGCACAGGTTTGATATCCAGCGTTCTTACAAAATCATAAGATGCAGGAGGAAGGTTTCGTCGCACATATCAATCGCACAATTTAACCTGAAAGCTACCTTGGAGATTATGTAACATGGCACGCGTATTGCCCCCTTATGGAGCTTCTCACAGACATCACTTACTGCACGTGCAATGCGAGTTAGCCACATGTGAAGGCTATACAAGTCCAGGGTTTGAAATACCTGGGCCCTGAAAAAGAATATCTCATCGCAAACGGTTTTTATAACATGCATGTGTTGTGGTCCTTAATTAAACGAATTTTAGCCCTGGTTTAGGACAAAAGAGAATACATTCTTTTGTCATTTGATAATGCCATACATGTTGCATGCACACGGCAAAATGCGCTACCAAAATATACCCAACAGAGAACATTTACGCCCCCGTGTTCACATGGGTTAAAACAAAGTTTCACAAAAGTGGTAAAACGTCACCTCGGGCTTTCCTCTCACATCAAAGATATGATATAACTGAAATACTGTTCAAAATAGCGTTAAATCAAACTCACATTTCAATTAATTAAGCTAACAAAAGAGTGCATGTTTGACTTTTTAGCAACCAGTTACTATTCTTTATTGTTTCATAACTCCAATAAACCCGGTTTAGAAATGGTGTTCAGCAACCATGACTGCCGTAAGAGGGGACTATGCTTCTTATGAGAGTCGACTAACGAGAGCGGTTGGTCAGGGTCACTGATTTGGTAGATGGATGTCATCGTATTCCAATTGCGTGGATCGATGCTCATGATGTCAATCACTGGATTATCCAGTCTCGATTGCTTACAGACCGCCGTAAATTAGCTGGAATATTGCTGAGTGAGGCGTTAAACAACAAACAAACAAACATAACTCCAATATGTCTATTCTCCCTCTTCATTATTCGAGTATCTGGATGGGGCGGTCAGGTATTATTGTGGTCAACGCTCAAACGGAGGACCCTGACGCAATTCCTCATGTGTGAAGCCCATTGCTGGTTTCCCTAACCTTGATGAGATTGAAATAGTGTTTAAAGCGTCGTAAAAGCTAGAAACGTTAAGAATAATCCTTCACAATATTGTCGTTCTTTTTGATGTTGTTGTTGTTGGTTTGTCGTTTAACGCCGCACTCGGCAATATTCCAGCTATATGACGGCGGTCTGTAAATAATCGAGTCTGGACCAGACAATCCAGTGATCGATATCATGAGCATCGATCCACGCAATTGGAATCGATGACATGCATCAACAAAGTCAGCGAGTCTGACCACCCGATCCCGTTAGTCGCCTTTTACGACAAACATAGTCGCCGTTTACGGCAAGCATAGGTTGCTGAAGACCTATTCTACCCGGAATCTTCACGGGTCGTTCTTCTTGATCTGAGTGTGAAAAGAAAGTATACCGTTTTTTAATGTTATTAAAAGTTAAAAAGAACTGTTGTTAAATTGTATTATGTCTATTTAACCATCACTCATTCCTGCAACAGTTTTTAAAATGTGATAAGTGACAGCGTAATTTTGTGTAAAAATAAATAGGTTCAATGAAGACCGGGGAAGAAATGAACTAGCAACCACATGTTTAAAATGTTGTAAATTTGTGTCGAAAAAGAAATCTTGACATAGTGTCAACCCATCAGCAATTGTGTATTAAGCGAATTTGAAAATAAAATACAGTCATGTAGACGTATTCTTAGAGTGCTAAGCGCCAGTACGGTTCATTGTTTGGATATATTATGGCTATCTTATATTTTCAAAAATATCATAAAATCAACTGATAGGTATAGTTTCTTTTGCCTTCGGTTTAAGATAAAGAACTGCTTACTTAAATGAAATATTTGGTACATCTCGCGCCTTTGAACCCAGTGGAAAGGCGTCTCAAATAATATCCGACCGCCATGTTGATATGATCAACGTTTTGAACCAATACAAGCATGTTCGGAAATATATTCTGGTAGCAATTCAAAACGTTCTTCGGGGTATAATCCGTCTCAGTTATCTGCCTAAATATAATGAGGATAATTGAATGGATTGCTGAAAATTAGTATGATTAGGCGTTCTCGAAAGAGGTAAACATGTAAGCATAAACGTCTTCTATCTCTTCACGTTATTGTAGAAAGTTTATATGAGGGAACAGGCAACAACAAAAACCATTTTAACTTCATTTTTATTCTAAAATAAATTACTACATACATGAAATATATACAACATATGAACATTGAACAGATAGCTACGCACAGATCAACGTTTTAAAACCCAACCCTTTTGAATGATGCTCAAGCACATTTAAATAAGTATTACATATAGAACATTTTCATAATTGATTTCATATTACCCCAAAAGGACATAATCGCATAATCTATTTTGACACAGAGATATCAATAAAGACATCCTCGACTGTACAGTGCAATTAATCACCAGTCGCTTTTGATAGATAACCTGGACCCATTATGGGGTTGTTCATCATCATTTCTCTTGTCAGCAACTCCGCAAACAGGTTTTTTCGCACGTGAGATAATTTGGTTAAAGTCACAATTTTAGTGCGAATGGGTCCATTATAATAGTGAGTATGTGAGCGAGTCTGGTTTTACGCCGCTTTAAGCAATATTCCAGGAATATCACGATGGAGGACACCAGAAATGAGCTACACATATTGTACTCATGCGTGGAATCGAACCCAGGTCTGCTGCGTGACGAACGAACACTTTAACCACAAGACTACCCCACCGCCCCCTTCATCATAATGGAATAGATATACATGTATAACACAGTGGATGATTGAGGATGTCTAAGATACTGTGTCAGATATTTCGGTATCTTGATTTCACTTTTTCACAACTAGAAGCACACATTGCTTACATTTATAGCTATAAAATATGTTCTCTTTGAAATACTGAGAACAATCAGAAAGAATCTCTTCCTGATTTAAGGGGCTGCCGGGGTGACAGCGTCCTGATTGTCGAATCCCAACTTGCAGCAGGCCAGGATAGGCTCAACACACACTTGACGTCCATCGGTGCCAGTGGTCAAGGATGTACACAGCTGGAAACAATTGGAAGAAATGTCATTTGTTTATTTTGGAGTGTTTAACATAAGGATACCTCTGCGAAAACATGAACGATTTGGACGTGTACAACGGAAATGTGAATAGCAGTTAAGAGTAAATCGATGTATCACTCTTATTCTCATAAACCATTGGTATAAAGAGTCAATATCAAAACGACTATTGTATTTTTATATTTGAGAATCTGTGTGTGAGTATAATTTGAAAAGTTATGTATATTATAAACCTTGTCCATGTATTGGTAGATTATGAAATGACAATACATAGTGCAATAGGGTCTATCACTTACAGCCATGCCACGTCCTCCGAATCGCTCGATCTGTCTGAATGGTAGGTTGGCAGAGGCCAAGTCAATGATAGTCTCCTGGTTGGTAGAGAGGGTGACAGAGGTGACAACTCCAGGGGTGGTGGTCGTTCCAGTGCCCCATGATTGACCCAATCCTTGTCCCCACTGCTGTCCCCATGGCTGACCCCACTGTTGACGAAGACCTTGTCCCCACTGTTGACCCCACACGTTGCTGAAATTGCGAGGAACCATTATTTTATTTTATGAGTTAGTGATATGGTTAATTGTGTGAATCAGTTCTTGGATTTAAAAAACACCCCAGGATTCACCAAACACTGTTTTCCGAGAGAAAACATGAACATTAATTAATGTATATAGAGGGTTCATTTTTTAAAAACTTTCCCCTAGACACGCCAGATACAGTCACATCTTTACCTTCCAAGGACAGGACCGAGTCCATCAGCAGTACAGCCAGCCTCCACACGAGATCTCTCGGTGATAACGAGGTTGTAGGTTCCTGACACAGTGGATGTTCTCAGAACGGCAGATCCAGTCAGACCTCCGCGGGATTGACCCAACTAGAATATTAAGAAAGAAAATATAACTAGGTTTCTTGTTGGTCATTATGATACATTCCCCACGGACAGGGCTTTGCTGAAGTAGGGATATATACATGATCAGACATATTCTGACATTTTCCAGATCGCACATAGACAATATTCGTAAGCTGGGTGATTGTGGATTTACGCTGTGTATGTAACATTTCAACCATATCACGGCGCGAGAACACCGATAACAGCCTGTACCCTCTTGGTTTTTCGAAACCATTCATCAGAGCGTCAAGTGAACACTTTAACCATTAGGTTACCAAAACGCTCACTCTCGTTGTTGACATATGAGTGGATCAGATTGAATAAGAGACACGAGCTGATGAATGAACAAAAACAACTTACACCCCATCCTCCCCAGCTTGGTTGACTCCTCCTCAGAGTCAAGGACCCCGTGATCCCTGTAGCGCTGAATGTACAGGTGATGGTAGTGTCTGAAGACAGGGTAACGATAATGAAAACAGTGTAAAACAATATGCTTAAAGTTACAAAACATCAAACGGACACTGCTTTGCCTTTGTTCCACATTCGTTGGGTCTGTACCTTGCCTACACTTATTAGATTCACTTGAAATATGTGTTCCAATTAGATTGCATTATTGTTCTGTTTGTTCAATACGTTAAGTTCATATGCATTATATAATAAATAGAAGAATATCGTTCCCTTAAAATGTATGAAATAAAAATAAATGTATGCATGCACTTACTGAAGAAAGGGTTGATGGTGTTCTGGCCCAGTACTCCTCCTATTTGTCCCCATCCTGCTCCTGGTCGACCAAAACCTGGTAGACCCAAACCCAATCCTGCCTGACCAAAACCGGCACCTGCCTGACCAAAACCGGCTCCTGCCTGACCAAAACCGGCTCCTGCCTGACCCAAGCCGGCTCCTAACTGACCCAAGCCGGCGCCTAACTGACCCAAGCCAGCTCCCGCTTGACCCCACGATGCTCCTGCTTGACCAAAGCCGGCTCCTGCCTGACCCAAGCCAGCTCCCGCTTGACCCCACGATCCTCCTGCCTGACCCAAGCCGGCTCCTGCCTGACCAAAGCCAGCTCCCGCTTGACCCCAAGATGATCCAGCATTACCAAAGCCAAATCCAGCGTTACTCATTTGACCCATACCTTGACCAAAGGTCAGGTGAGCTATGACAGATAGAATAGCTACTGTGAGAAAAGCCATAGTGTGTGTGTGCTCGAGAAGGACCTGAGATGTCTATATTGCTGACGGGACCTGACGGAGTCTATATACACCAGGGATACAATACACCAGACTATTAGTTATGTCATTGAAATTAAGAGAAGCGCCGCTGGTCATAAGTGCGATCCCACCTTCTTACATAATTAAGGGGTGGCGGGTTACTTAATAATTAATTCCTTACGATCCCAGTGTAGACACTAATGTAAATACCAATCCTCGAATTAATTGATCCACGTACCCAATTTTGATGAAAATATGCACACATGCTTCAAAATTACTGCAAAAAATGTAATTTTAAAAAACGTATACAGGGATTTACCTCAAATTTAGCTATTTTTCTATATTTGTCTATTAGCTTTATTTAACTATTTAGCTAAATTTATCGGTGTTTATTGTCGTTACTGAATAGTTATCGATAATATTCACGTTGTAAGTAAAGGCTTAAGTATGATAAGGGTACCTTTTGCCAACCAGAAATATGTGTTTTGTAAATTATGAAAAAACTTGGAAATATTTTTATTGAAATAATCGGATATGTATTTGAACTCGTTTTTCTTTTATTCTATGACTTATGACATGATGGAGTCCATAAATAAGAATAAAACAAATGAAAGGGAGAATTTTCCGACATCGACAATGACGAGGTCGATAGTGACGATATGTGACGAGGCCAACTACCCGAAATGAATATTTCACCTGAATGTATGTGCTATCAATACCTACGTTTCGTTGGAAATTCAGGATGGGTCAACGACAAAACTATTCTTGAAAAGGTATTTAATCTTCATTTTGTGACGCTAGTGTTGAAAAGTATAAATTTTATTTCTCATTGATATGAAAACACGTTATAACTTTGATAATGATTTGTGATGTTGCAATTGCCTTCAAGAACTACTTACAAAACGTTTCAAACATACTCTGCATTTAGTACAAACGTATAATGGACTCTGCATTTAGCAGAGATATCTTATGATTAAAGAAAGTGTATTGTCGCTTTTAATTAAACTGTAAAACGATCATTAATTTGTGAACCTGTGCTTCCCGTAGAGCTTGAGTGTTACATGTCATGGTTCCACAATACAAGACTTATTACACATTATATCTAAAGTCGTGGTAGGGTAGGCTGGTGGTTTAAGTGTTCGCTCGTTACGTGGTAGGTCCGAGTTCCCCCCCTATGGGTACAGTGTTTGAAGCCAATTGCTGGTGTCCCCGCAGTGAAATTGCTGGATTGTTGTTAAATTTGGCGTAAACTCACTCACTCACTCACTCACTCACTCACTCACTCACTCACTCACCTTACAATCGTTACTGGTATGGCTTCGTAACGACACGCCGAAGGCGAAGTTGATTGCGATAGATTGTGTGAGGATGCGTAAATCGATATTTCACTTAAGGTCATGTATCGATGTAAAATCATGCATGCGTGTATCTATATCCATGTTATGTTTTATGAAGTTTGATAATAACGTCCTTTTTCTGACGGTATGTACAATAATTCTCAAACATAAATTACTCCGTTCCCTGGTGAAATATGGCTCCTTAATTCGACAGTTCACTCTTAGGAGCGAGTGAGTTTAGTTTAACGCCGCTTTGAACTCTATTTCTGTTTTATCACATTGTGACCACTCAATGTTGACGGAAAGCCCAAGGTCTTACGATCACGAGAATGGTTCATCCTCAGGAATGGTCAAGGTGGGCGTTTTCGTATATGATATCGTTTATAGAACGTTATTATCGAGATACAAGTGTTATTGCTAAATGTGTGTCACTCTACCGGCACCGTCAAATGTTTGATTTTATCATCATTGGTCTGTTTAGGTATATCTTGTTTCGTGTCTAAGTAATGGATAAATAAGGAGAACCTGTTGATTCAGGAAGCAGATTCAACGAGCCCCGAAGGGGTGACTTGATTCTACTTCCGGAATCAATAGATCTGAGTGATTTCTCCGACTTAAACCATGTTATTGTTGATATATGATGTCTATAATTTTGCAGAATGACCTAAAGTTGCCTCAGTTCTACTTTTTAAATGCACGTTCACAATGGCCAGTGAAATACTAGCTCTTAATCAACACAAGCGAGACGTCATCGTAATAGTTTCCAATGTATACATAAACTTACGCGAACAAATTTGTTGATAACAACTGATCATGTGTGTAGATTAAAATTATACCTTATGTCATTGAACATTTAATAGATGTTCGTGAATATATGATCATATTTGCACATTATGAAATGGGCATACTAATAACACTAAGAGATTAGCAGTTCCTAAAGCACAATATCTTTCTCATAATTTTGTACCGACAAAGCATATTTCATAAGTATACTTTAATCATATTAAAACGCTATGTTTCATATTTTTATGATCACATTCTATTAACTGAGTCGAGGAGCAAAAGAAACTATACCTCTCAGTTAATTTTATCATATGTTTGTTTTCAATTGAAAATATCTTGCGAGATAATATATCCAAACAATGAACTTTACTGGCGCTTTGAAGCACTCTTTTTAAGTCATCATATCTTAGAAATTCAATAAATCTGCCTTTTTCGGCACAATTTACAACATTTCAAACATGGAATGGGTGATGTGGTTGCAAATTCACAAAATTATAAAATTTACACAATTACCCAGCTATAGATTATTGTTTAGAAACTGGTGCAGGAATGAGTGATGGTAAAATAGACATAATAACATTCAACAACTGTTCATATTGCTTTATCCATTGGTACTATTTCAAACCTGTATGTGTGTCAACATCTATAATTAAAATATTACTCCATCTTAATTGTAAACCTCGCCTTTAGAATTTCCAAACAACAACTAAGGACCTTTCTATCAGCGAATTCCCACAACTTATATTTTTAAATAGCTTCTGTATCAAGTGATCGATCCCTGCTAGACTTAAATGTTAAGTTATTTTTATTCATAGATAGACATCGAAAGACTTGGTGAATTACTTTATTACTTGTTTGATACGTTCAATCAATTTCTTGTGCTGCTTTCGTGTGATTCATAAACCCATGCTCATGATATGGACGGAATCGTACAATGGACTCTGTTTGAAGCAGGGATTATTATGGATGATTATTTTGGAACATCTGTCGCTTTTGATGGTCATCTTTAATTGTCAAGCAAAAATGTATGGACAACTAACATGTTTAAATGAATACTTACATAAATGACACAATACCAGCACCAACTTAGTGAGGGTTTTTAACGCCTTTGAACAGTATCTTAGTTATATCACCGCGTGTCAGGTCAATGTGAACGGAAAGCCCGAAGTGATACAGTTACTGAGAAACTTAAAGAAAACGTAATAGGGGCGAATTTGGCATTCTATACATCTTCCGGAGGCAAGAGAGTTAACTGACTTTAAAAGTCCAGTTTCCACCCTTGCCGAACTAGGCTGGTATTATGGATTACATTTTGGCTGGACTTACGAGTCTTTGCATAGTCCAATCAAAATCGCGCACCGAAATCGAAATCCAGTTCGTAAACTGTCGTGCAGATTTCGGTCGATTGCAGGATTTGCAAAGCATGTGCACTGCCAACTCGTTGTCAGCCGATATTTTCCAAATCTTTTCATGTTTTTAATGAAGGTGCTCACGTGATTTGATGCATTTCGCGATGTAAGACTATCACTATATAGATCTCGATCAGATCGTCCTGACTGGGCGCTACCATTTGTGTGAAGCAAACGCAAGTGATACGAGAGGTGGAATCTGATTGGTCCATAAGAGAGGCTTAGAAGGGACATAACTTGTAATAGCCACTGGTGGCGCTACGATCGAACCCAGTAATTCCAGCCTAGTTCGGCAAGGGTGGAAACTGGACTTTTAAAGTCAGTTAACTCTCTTTCCTCGGGAAGATGCTTTCATTATAGAACTTCGACGCAGAGAATAATTAGTTTCAATTTTCGCCAGAAACAGACTCCATTTGGCATAAAAGGCTAAACAGCGGTGAAAATGTATGGATGGATCACTGAAAATCAGTGATGACACCAGGTGTTCGCATGGAGGGTAATTATGTCCTGCCCTACCTGTAAAACCTGCCACTCACACCATTTGCATAAAAAGTGGGTGTTTGATTGCCGCCGCACAGTAGTACCCCCGCCACACGCCGGCGGCAAGCCACGATCAATGGTTTACTGGCGCGCCTCAGACACGAAACTTCTGCACAGTGAAATGCAGCACATTGCGCGACTGGGTCAACCGTATCATCCACTGTTCTAAAACCCGACTATAATGTGAAAAACACTAAATCTCCTGATCCGTTAACAACTGAAATACAGTTTATGTACTTGCAATATTTAAAAAAAATACTCGTATACGATACTTGTATTAATTTTTATATTATACGTAGTGCTGGGATTTTATTTCACACTTTCTGAATTAATGAATTCTCATTTTCTGTTTAAGATATTTAATCTAACTTACAAGCCCATTAAATTATCAAATTGCCAAAAAAGAAACAAGGCGCCGAAACCGGGAGGTGCGATCGCTTAGCAGTGTATTTGAAGCATAGCTGTTAAAATAAGAAGAGTTTCAAACAAATGACGCTTAAAAAAACAGTTATCCAGTAAATCTTTTACTGGATGTAAAATATTTTCGCTGTCAACACAGAAATGTAAGTGCTACGAAGCCCGGCTACTAACGCATGAGGTGACTTCGTTACCGGTAGTTCCGGTGTCCCGGTATAAACTCTCCCCCCGTACAAATTCTCCCCCCGGAGATTTTATACCGGTACAGATTCTCCCCCGGAGAATCTGTTCTGAAATAAAATCTCCCCGGGGCCGATATATTTCGCGCCCCCCCTCAGTATAAAGTCTCCCCCCTGATTATTCGGTTTGTTGCAATGTCTTTAGGTACTATATTCTTTAAATAGTTATCTTTGATGTAAGGAGGGTTACTTTAAAAAATACATTATGAAATATGGTCATAATGAATTGATATTTCAGCATATTTTATTTGGTAACTGTACCTTCCATCCTACAATAATCGTAAGACATAATCATACCAAACAAAGGATGGGAGACAAGAGTCTCTACAGAGTTTGTTGTTTCTAATACAGTTGTTGTTGTCTGTATACATTTTTTTAATATACCAGTTTGAATCTACATGTGAACACAATCGATGGTTGAAATGTTAGTCTAAGAACAAAACATGAACTAATTCCCAAGAACTCTGATGTATAAAGTTACCTTCATCTTTGATTGACTGATATATTTTCAGTCTTTATTAAGCACTGAAGAGGCCACAGGCCTTTAGTACGAAGCATTAAGTTTATGAATAATCAGCATTGATTTTGACTCCATAAACTGTCATAAAGTATTCATAAAGTATCAGGGGTCATTTCAACTTGCAAAATGATTGACATAGTCCTTTATAGAGCGAGGATTGGGCTGTTTTCCAACCCGATTGACTGATATTACAACATTCACATGGTTTAGAATGGTACAATGAATGGTAAAGCATGCAAATTACACTAATACGCGATATTTCATAAGAAAATATCATATCTCCGTTGAAACATAAAACCAATATTTATGAGTCTGTTTATATTTATGTTACTTTCATTGCAGTGAACATATCACTTTTCTGAACTTTAGACATACCCGCACCAAATGCATGGATACTGATTCAGAAAGTATGAACTTTTATAAAAGGTGTTTTAACATGTTCACTGACGACAGGGTCTTTGATCTTGTATTTGAAAAGTTGTGTGTGTATGTGTGTTAACCAACATATGATTTGAGCCAGAAACTGCTTGAATTCATTTTTCCGGCACCTCTCTTCAGAGCTACAATTGGCATTTGGGATATTGGCTTGTGTATGAACACAAAACGATATGTTTTTTGTTTGATTTGCTTTTATTAGTTAAATAATTTACTACACTTCTGCATTGCACACAGCATTCGCTTACATGAATACTGCATATGACATGAAAAAATTATATGATAAAATGTTTCTAAATAAATATATTTTTACATGTAATGCAAACAATTTCTTTTAAATTGGCGGTGGTTTGAATTTGCCACTTTGTACATTTTCTAAATTTTGAAAACCACACAATGCATTGTTCAACAGGAACCCCACATGGTCATATCTGTATTGGGAAGACAGTTACACGAACATTTTCAATGATATGATATTAAGAATATTTGCAACATGACACAAAACGGAATATTAACATTTTGCCTAAAATACACACGTACAATTCGTTCCTTCACGATGTCAAACACACTTTAATGAGTACATGGACATTTCTTTAATTGAACAACTCATTACATACAATTCTTAAAATAATGTTATTCGTGAATGAACATTGTAGTGTTTACATTTATCGGGAAAAGCGTCATAGCTATAATGATCTACTTTAATTCAAACAATATGTTTATCTATGTGGTCATTTGAACATCCCAGCTATTAAAACATTACAAACATAATGTCAATAAACCTTGTGGTCATCTTTTTCTTCTGTATCCATTAGAAATATACTCTGGAGGTTTTAGAGTGATAGGTATAAAATATGTTCTTCATCTATTTAAGGGGCTGCCGGGGTGACAGCGTCCTGATTGTCGAATCCCAGTTTGCAGCAGGCCAGGATAGGCTCCACACACACTTGACGTCCATCAGTGCCAGTGGTCAAGGATGTGCACAGCTGCAAACAGAAGAAAGTTTTGTCATTTGCTTGTTTTTGGATGATTATGGCGTTGTGATAACGGTAACACTTAGGAACATAGAACAGTATCCCTTTTCAGGCTGTCAAGGGTATGGAAAGATAATTTAAACATAAAAAATAGAAGATGAAGCCTAATTCTAATTTGTTAAGTTACACATTTGCAAATAGCTTTCCTAAATGTCAAATACGTTTATTTCAGGTTTAAAGGTTAAATATGAGATTTGGTTGAGGCCCAAATTTGTAAAAAATGTGAATTTCATAAAAAGATATGAAATATTATGAAATCACAATGCTTATGACAAATGTGTCTCGCACTCACAGCCATGCCACGTCCTCCGTATCTCTCGATCTGACTGAATGGTAGGTTGGCAGAGCCCAAGTCAATGGCAGTCTCCTGGTTGGTAGAGAGGGTGACAGAGGTGACAACTCCGGGGGTGGTGGTCGTTCCAGTGCCCCATGACTGACCCCATCCTTGTCCCCACTGTTGTCCCCACTGTTGACCAAAACCTTGACCCCATCTTTGGCCCCACACGTTGCTGAAAGTGCGAAGGAACAATTATTTTATTTTAGATCTAATATATTATGTTATGTATCAGTGGTATGGAAATTGGGTGAATACGCATTTGGATTTAATAAATAGGTTTCATTATAATAATGTGTTCCCGTATAAAGCATAAACATATTCAGTACGCACTAAGTAATTTAATAAAGGGTTTGTTATTGAAGAAGTTTCCCGAGACGCGCAAATGTAGAAAGATCTTTACCTTCCAAGGACAGGTCCGAGTCCATCAGCAGTACAGCCAGCCTCCACACGAGATCTCTCAGTGATGACGAGGTTGTAGGTTCCTGACACAGTGGATGTTCTCAGAACGGCAGATCCAGTCAGACCTCCGCGGGATTGACCCAACTAGAAAATGAAGAAGGAAAATATAACAAGGTTTTCATGTTGGTCATTCCCATTTGATGATGGGATATATACACGATCTGACATATTCTGACATTTTCTATAATGTCTTGGTGAAAGAGGCGAAACCATTTTGGTGAAACCCACGAGCACGGGAATGTTGCTGACAAAGTTTGATAGTATTCATGGCCAATCAGGGATTCGAACTCACGAGCATCGGATTCTAGCACGACCAGGGGAGTCAACTGTGCAGAGAATCATGGCACCTAAGATGACCAGCCTCCCCTGACTCTGACCCTAACCCTGACCCCACAGAGAAGCTTTTGTTCAGTATTCAAGTATCAAGTAACCGATATAGCTAACCTTCATAAATTCTCTTCGGTCTGGCTGGTTTTAATGTTACTGTATCTGTATAACGCTTTAGCCATTAGGTTACCACGGCGCCCACTCTCGTTGATAATATATGAATGGAGTGAGTGAGTGAGTGAGTGAGTAAGGTTTAACGCCGCTATTGACAGTATTACAGTTATATCACGGCGAGTCAGCTTAATGTGGGAGGAAAGCCCGAAGTGATGCAGGTCTCAGACGTTTACCACTTTGGTGAAACCCACGAGCACGGGTACGGTGCTGACAAACCTAGAAACATAATCGTTGCGAACCGGGATTCGCACCCACAATCATAGGTTTCTGGCGTACCCAAGGGACGCAACTCTGCACAGAGAATCGCAGCGCCTTAGACGACTGGGCCACCCGTGCCCCCACATATGAATGGATCAGATTGAATAAAAGATTCTGATGAATGAATAGAAACAACTTACACCCCATCCTCCCCAGCTTGGTTGACTCCTCCTCAGAGTCAAGGACCCCGTGATCCCTGTAGCGCTGAATGTACAGGTGATGGTAGTGTCTGAAGACAGGGTAACGATAATGAAAACAGTGTAAAACAATATGCTTAAAGTTACAAAACATCAAACAGACACTGCTATGCCTTTGTTCCACATTCGTTGGGTCTGTACCTTGCCTACACTTATTAGATTCACTTGAAATATGTGTTCCAATTAGATTGCATTATCGTTCCGTTTGTTCAATACGTTAAGTTCATATGCATTATATAATAAATAGAAGAATATCTTTTCCTTAAAATGTATGAAATAATAATAAATATATGCATGCACTTACTGAAGACAGGGTTGATGGTGTTCTGGCCCAGTACTCCTCCTATTTGTCCCCATCCTGCTCCTGGTCGACCAAAACCAAGTTTGGGTAGACCCAAACCCAATCCTGCCTGACCAAAACCGGCACCTGCCTGACCAAAGCCGGCTCCTGCTTGACCCCACGATGCTCCTGCTTGACCAATACCGGCTCCAGCCTGACCCAAGCCGGCTCCTAACTGACCCCACGATGCTCCTGCTTGACCAATACCGGCTCCTGCTTGACCAAAGCCGGCTCCTGCCTGACCAAAGCCAGCTCCCGCTTGACCCCACGATGCTCCTGCCTGACCCAAGCCGGCTCCTGCCTGACCCAAGCCGGGTCCCGCTTGACCCCAAGACGATCCAGCATTACCAAAGCCAAGTGCCATTTGACCCATACCTTGACCAAAGGTCAGGTGAGCTATGACAGATAGAAGAGCTACTGTACGGAAAGCCATAGTGTGCGTGTGCTCGAGAAGGACCTGAGATGTCGATATTGCTGACGGGACCTGTCGGAGTCTATATACACCAGGCGTTTAATTGAATTGCATTTTATTATGTCACAGAAATTTAGGAGTACCCGAGTCGGAAGTCCCATCCCTCGTTTCTTACATAACCAACTGGCCAATTAGATGGGGATTAACATTTCCGAAAAACCTGTCACGTCATGTATCAAAATTACCATAATTTGATGACAACGAAGATGTTCACGTTAGGGACTAGTTGAACGGTTACATTGAAGCTCATCAGCTTGTAACTGACAAGATTAGTTGTCAAATTAGAAGATTCACCAGGTAAGTGTGAGTTTTAGCCGATCGTTGTTTTTCGCATGTTTATCACTTTTAGAATAATGGCGTTGGATTTCCAGAGAATATAGGTTCCGCAGTGAAAATGTAACATGAAGATATTTATACACCCGTAAAAGTTAAGTACCGCTTCCTACTTGTATATATTTCCATATAAAATACGTTTGGATAATAAACAAAAATCGCACCCTATATTACTTTTCTGACGAAATGAGTTTTTGTTCACAATGTCACAATGTGAAATACAGAAGCCGCAATCGATTATCTTATAATATATTTTGTAACTGTTCCATACAGCAATATATATTTGAATACTATTTCTAACGATATAAGCCAGATTTTCTTTTTGTTTGTTTGTTGGATGATATATATTCCAGCTAAAGTACGGCTGTCTGTAAATAAGCGAGTCTGGACCAGACAATCCAGTGATTCACATCATGAGCATCGATCTACGCAAATGGGATACGGTGACATGCATCAGCGAGTCTGACCACCCGTTACCGTTATTCGCCAAAGTATGGGTTGTTGAAGACCACTTCAAACTCGAAACTTCACGGGAGACCAGCTTTTTGACCACCCTGAAAAGTATCTTAGAACCAACATTTCAGCAGGTATCTATCTATCTTAGACATTCAAAGACGATTAGTGTTGTATGCTGATATTTCCAAAAGATACATGTCAGTTATTTAAAAAACATCATTAAGATGCAAACAGTATACATTGTATTCTAATGTATATGTATATGCCTTTTCGAAAACACCTTGTGTCAACACTGATTTTCAGTGATCCATTCATATAAGTTTCACCGTTATTTTGCTTTTTGAGCCCAATGGAACCCGCTTCGGCAGAACATCGAGACAAATTATTCCCCGGCGTTGACGTTTTACATCTATTATGTTTGATACTGAATGAGACATATTTGTCTGAATGTATTCGAGAACAAGGTATTAACAAAAGTGTTTTGTGAACGTGTGCATTTGGTGTGAAAACACTTTGGACATAAGAAGCTTACGCGTTACTCAAGCAAATGGACGCAGTTCTGTGTCCCTGTATGTGTTTTGCATAGGTTGTTTTCGTGGATATTAATTTCGAACGTCAATCTGATCGGTCCACCATGCACATCTACACACTAGCACATATACTTGATGGACCATTTCGATGAAATGTTTATGTTTACATTTATATATCCTTGAACGTATATTCAAGTAATCACTGAAAAAACATTCTATGCTCTCTGTGATAGCATATTTACACATCAAATAATATTGTTTTGAATATTGTATCTTCTGTTTGTATAACTTAATGAAAATACCATGATATGTGTTGACACAGTGGTATCGTGTGTAAGTACGTGCGATACGCCTTTGTTGAAAGAATTCTGGTATGGAGAATAACTTTGATATGAATGAATGAATGAATGAATGAATGAATGAATGAACAAATTCAAAGAAATGAATAGGTTTTTTTTTATAACACAACACATTCTAATACTATCGGTATCAAAAACGTCAAGCGTGTACCTGATGGGATGCACATCCAGATAACACAGTTCCTCTACCAGAGACTGCATACTCACACAGCAGCAATATGTGCACCCGTAAGATTATTGCATCAGGAGTCTTTATACATAAAATCAAGCTTAACTTGGACGACACTGCCATATAATTGAAACGGATGGGATGAAAAGCTAACTAAGCATGCGTGTTTCCAGGCATGACGAGCCTCTTTTGAGCCGTTTCGGTTCTGGAAATTTAGTAATGGTATATTTGTTATTTTTACCACAGTGGTCTCGTTGGTTAGAAAATGAGTGTTTATTTTCAAACATTGAAATCAACTATTTTTTGTGTGTGTACTCTTCTTGAAATGCCCTTTCACTTCTGTGTTAATGTTTTACCGTGTCCTCTATGCTTGTTGGCAGGACGATTGTTTTATATCAGTTGTTTTACCTTCAGTACACACTATAACGAGTCCATGTCTAACCAATTATTTTACAAATGTAAGAACCAGTGCCTTCAAACACATGGCACGTAAATGATTTTTCTTCAATTCCCCACAAACCACCACCCAACCCCCTCGCAGACACACACACCTCCTTTCTGTATAAAACCTGAACTCACCACGGTAACTAGGCTTATCGCGAACATCTGGTATCATTAGTATTTGATAGTGATTCATTAATACATGCTCGTGATTCAGTCGGAATCGTACGATCGACTGCTTTTAGTAGATATTTTGGTGGCTCTGGAAAGGGTTTTGCCGCTTTTATCAAACTATGTCGGCGTAAAAAAAGAAGGGACAAGATCGGCAAGAAAGATTCCCAAGGGGTCATTAATTGAAGGTGTACTACCAGACACTGCATCGACAGGAGGACACACATGCACCTGGGCTCCACATTAATAATTAGCGATGAGATCATGACCCGAGGCGTCCACTCCTATGTTCCCCGGGGCACGTGTAAGTCATTATCGCTCATCAGTATGTCTTTCACTAATTATTTGAATTAATTGACGTCCCATAAATTCACTTTATAGTAATCTGTTTGATCGTATTTGCGTATTGTCTCGTCATTCAGAGTATAAGATCATATCATTTATAGACAACTGGTTGGACTTGACAAGACAGACCAGGGTAGATTTGATGCCGTTTGATTTTGGTTCAAAAAGTCACATAGAGAGCTAATTGAAACCGCTGAACACCTGAAGGCATCAATCGAGATGAGGAAGGGAGATATTTTTTGTCCGAAGGCAAACAATAAACTGCTGGAAAAACGGAAGTATACCCGCATGTTTGCTGGTGGCTAAAATGAAACAAGCAAGGAATGGTTATTGGATTGTGATGTATTTATACGGGTATCATAGTTTTGTTTTGGACCTTACGTTTACAGTATTTCGGCGACTGTTTTCAGCCTGGTGAAGTTTTGATAACGTTTGTAATTTTGGGGTCAAATCCAGTGATCAAGTGAATATACTTTCTTCCGCCTTGCAGTTTATGTCTTTTTTCCATGCTTCAAACATGTTATTATTTTCTCTGAAAGAGGAGCTAATCACGTTTTGGGGGACAACATCAGGACATCCAACTATCCCGTGTTTGTAGATGAACTCTGAAGCCAAATGATTATTTTCAAGGATTTTCTGGTAAATATTGTTATTAGGAAAGTAAAATTGTCGACCCCGAATGCGAAGCAATATTTCACCATAACTTCTGTAAAGTTGCCGGGCAAAATGTTAAATTATCAAATTTTCATTAAAGTATATAACCTTTAGAAACGATACAGAGTTCATTTGCAACACAAACATAATAGAGTACACGTAAAATGTTATTTTGATCATTACTTGTGCAGAAATATTGCAAACTGTAATATTAAATTTTGAATTTGCCTAAATCTTAAGTATTTGTTTTGATAGACTTTATATAGTCAAACCGAACTATCGCATGTACATGTACCAATTCTATTTGATATATTGTTTTCGAAATGTAAAACGAAATTATTATCGATTTTCGGTGATTTAATAACTGATATACATCTAAAAATAAAGTAATGATAATATTGTAATTGACTATCGCATATCAACTGACATCATTGGGACGTCCTGTGCTTACTGTATACCTGCGTTAATCAGGATGTCGATAAAATGTTAATGAATGAGTTGGGTTTTACACCACTCCAGCCCTAGATAGGTCGATCCTAACTAAACCCAAAAAGAAGAGAGGTGTTTGCTTTGAAAACATCACACTAATCAATGAGAATATTATCTGGGAAACTTATGATTTTGAACATCGTTTTGAATAAGGATTTATACCCTGTTAAACAAAGAACACACGTACAAGTTCATGTGTACAATCAGCTGTTTCGTACAGTAGTCTCAACATTCCACCGCAAAATTATTATAAACAAAGAAACGGATACCATTTCACCATGTGTGTTATTGTTAGGCTGTCTTTTAGTTTCACAGTGTTCTGATCTGTTACCTAGACTTCTCTTTGGCCCCATTGCCTTTTGATACTCAACATATATTTGTAATTATGTCGTGCATTATCTTCTATGAATATGCTTTACTGTTTTCTTCATAGGCAACCATGTATCGCAGAATATGTAAACAATTCCAGAATTCAACAAAACAAGGTTACTGAGATCAGTCAGTGTTCTGATATAAACCTTTGGATGATTTATATCCGAGAGACAAATTAAACTGAACATAGTCGGTCATTCATATGGTTTAGTTGGTCATCAATGGCTGACGTTTTAGCAGGTCAGTGAGCGTAGTTGTCACCCAAGGCAGCAAAAAAACAAATCCATCACAAAATGTATTACAGATAAATGAAGGTCTGTGTGACCAGAAGGCGGTATTAGTGCCGCTTGAATGAGTTAAACAAGAACGGCACTGGGGTGACCTATCTTCGTACCAGTTGCCTATCGCTAATAAGACAAGCCCGTATGACGTAGATGATTTAAAGACTTAAAATTCCTTAAGAGCACCCTGAGGTGTGCCAGTTTTACTTCTTTGACCTGTCCTGAACGACAGTTTTATTTCACACCGTGGGAGTGGGCAATTTCCTCTTTCCATTTTTGAAAAATACATTCTTGGCAGTTATAAAAGTAACTCCTTGGCCGAAGGAAGCAGAACTTTAGTTGATCCTGTTTGACCATTTCCACCATGGCCATGCTGGAACTTGTTCTTGTTGCTGCTCTAGCTCACCTAGCCTTTGGACAAGGTTGGGGAGCAGGACTTGTTGGACCTGGAACGAGGGGTGTTGGGCCTGGAATCGGGAGTGTTGGAGCTGGATTTGGGGGTATTGGGCCTGGATTTGGGGGCGGTGGACCTGGAACCGGGGGTGTTGGATCTGGAACCGGGGGTGTTGGACCTGGAATCGGGGGTGCTGGACCTGGAATCGGGAGTGTTGGACCTGGATTTGGGGTAGTTGGACCTGGTACCGGGGGTGTTGGATCTGGAACCGGGGGTGTTGGACCTGGAATCGGGGGTGTTGGACCTGGATTCGGGAATGTGGGACCTGGATTCGGCGGAACCTCTACCTTTGGTCTGGGAACATCTTTGTTTGGTCTCAACATCATCAACCCTTACTTCAGTACGTATTTTTTTCTTTTGGATTCTCAAAGAAATCATAGGATTATTATAGATGACCATAACAGAATCACCGGCTTCTGTGCTTCGTGGTCTTCTGTCCTACTTGTCATTTAGATATAAAGAACTTCAAGGGTTAAATTTTTTAAACGTTTTCAGAAGAGAATGTAGTCTCTTCATATCCATACAATACACGTGTCACCCTTGCTTCATTACTTAAGTCAATATCAATATTTTTACAGACACTACAGTCACCTGTACTGGCACGGCTCCTGGATTCAGCGTCGCTGTTACCCTGAAGAGAACACCACCAATATTGGGACTGTGGGTGAGTGAGAGTATCTTAAAGCATTATCAGTAGCTAACGTTTGCAATGATTCCAGGCGTTCTTGATAATAATCGGGTAAGTGTGACAAATCATATCTCGTCGTCGTGAATTACTGCTTATTAAACATATCACTGTATATACAGTCGGCCAGGTCACACGTTACAATGATCAGCTTCTTACAAGTGGTCTATTTAGATAACAACTCCATTGCATAGGTTATAATGCTCTTCACCGGGCACCTTCCGCCATTTCGGTAATTTTTTAGCACAAGATCCTTCTTTAGTTACCGATTTCCAGTCGCCATTTTTAGCCACCTCGCTAAAGGAGGTTTGGGGACTTGTTCCCCATAAAACGGCTTGAAGTAAATGCTTTCGTAAGTAAATGTAATTTTCAGTTACCAAAGTTAATTAAATTACTATTTGGTGGTTGGAATGTGGTCCAAATGGATGCCACTAATGAAGTTGCCACACCCTGTTATGGAAGTTCTATTTTCCAGTAATATTTCGATGTTGCTATACAGATTTCGATGTTTATGAAATGGTTTCATATACAATACACGTACAAATGCAAGCGAAATCATATTTTCTGCTTATTGTGAGCATTATCACCGTATGTTTTCAAATAGTAACGTTGTCGTGTTCAGCTATATTGGTAGCATCAAACAAACATGGCAGATGACGGTTGTCGTTATAAGCGACTAAATGGAATCGTTGGTCAGACTTGGTGACTTAATTGATTGTCTGTCATTGTATCCCAGTGACGACTTTGTTTGGTCCAAACTCAAATATTTACATGGAATAATGCTCACTGTGGCGTTTAACAACAATTCTACCAGGAATCCGGCTCTGATTAGTCAGGCAGAGGTTTCAAATGACAATAACCACCTCTGATGGAAACAGCTGATTTAATATCCGCATCACCGCGGAAGTTCCCGTTTAAAGAAATGAATTCCTTTCTCAGGCATTGTTGGTGGGCATTTTGATATGTTCAATTACAGGTTACAAAATGTAAAGTTACTAAAATATTCCAAGTATAAGCCGCAAAATCGAATCAGAGATTGTTTTAACGTTGAATGCATGAAAGATTTGCTGAACGTGACGTCATATCTTGTGTGTCAAAATGAGCGTTGTGACGTCGTAATAATGACGTGCGGTGTAGAGCAAAGCCATGCGAGTCTTATTTAATCTACTTTAGTGTGTCCATTTCATGTAGTAGCCGTGTTTCACACGTTCTTTTCCTGCCACATATACTAGTAAATTATGTTGATGTGAAAACAATGTTCGCACTTACAATCGCCATTCTTTGTTTCCTTAATTCAGATCGACATATCATTCATAACAGTGGACTAAACCCATCCCGCTTTACTCAACATCTTCGTTAATATCAAACAGTTCGCGTTTAATTTTCACCTATTTCCAAATTCTTTACGGTAAGGTTCACAACTCTGCACTGAAAGCACCGTACGTTTATGAAATCATATAAATCTCTAGTTCGAAATAAAATCAAATCGAGTCATGTTATGGTTCATGTATAATTTATCTATAGCATTGCATCATAGCCTATAGTTATTTGTTTAAAATGCAGGTTCAGTATCAGCTCAGAATAAACTTTAACAAACAATAGCGTAACGTTATCATAATGGTTTAACTCTTGAACGTACACACAAACTTTCAATGGGTAACTGTAGATGGTTATGGCCCCTGTCGACCTCTGTCTATATGTGTGGGACCCGTGAAGATTCCAGGGTAGAATAGGTCTTCAGCAACCCATACTTGCCGTAAAAGGCGACTATGCTTGTCGTAAAAGGCGACTAACGGGATCGGGTGGTCAGGCTCGCTGACTTGGTTGATACAAGGCATCGATCCCAATTGCGTGGATCGATGCTCATGGTATTAATCACTGGATTGTCTGGTCCAGACTCGATTATTTTACAGACCGCCGTCAAATAGCTGGAATATTGCTGAGTGCGGCGTTAAACAACAAACCAACCTACTATATGTGTGGGTTTTGTATTGCAGTGGGGACAAAGGCAAGGTGGTCTCAGTGGAAACATTATCTTCAGAACTACGACTGCCACTGGAAACTTCCAACTCGTTGTCACCGAGAGAGCCCGTATTGAGGGAGGATGTACCGCTGACGGCCTGGGGAATGTGATCAGCAGGTATTCCTTTTAAATAAAAAATCATGTCTATTTTATATTATTATTTTAAACATTTATATACCACACATATCCATACATCTCTGCTCAGATGCGGTTTACAGTTCCTCACCAGTGGATCCATATGCTTTCAAGTTATCATTCTCAACTCCCTGGGAAGTATATAACCCAATCTGCCTGCGCTGGAGCGTTTTCAAATCCACCTCACATATCGGGTATCCATTACCTGTTGAACAGAGGCACATTTGAACTAAGTCACTTGCCCAGCGTGACACCAGACGTTCTGACAGTTTCGGGTGTTTCGGGTGTAAGATCGTATTCGTGTTTCCACCATATTGTCAAATGCTTCAGTGAACAACGAAGAAAGACTTATTTCATAGCCCACTAGTCTACTTTGGCATTTAGGATCGAAATACATACGTGAACTTTCACTGTTCTATGTTCCTGAAAAATACACAAATGTTTTACCTGCAGTAACGTTTGGCGCCAAGGATTCGGTCAACTATTTGGGCAACAGTGGGGTCAAGGTTTTAGAGGACCGTGGGGTCAGATATTCGGCGCCGGCACAATCACCCAGCCAGGAGTCGTTGCTGATGTAACCCTGGCTGCCAACAGAGATCAGACCCTTGATGTGGCCTCACTCAATCTGCCGTTCAGAGACCTCGAGAGATATGCAGGACGCGGACTTGCTGTAAGTGATTTTCACAAACCTTTCCAACAATTTACACTTGGAAGTTTTAAAGACAATGTGTAAAGTCAAGTTATTTTATATAATGAAAGGCCATGATCGGAACAGATGGAGTAAGTAGGTCCCAATCAATGTAATGTCGATTTTACAAGCCTTGCAATTGTGTATGCAGGACATGCGTCTTACCTATTACCTATTTGTTCTTGCTTAAACAAGATATAGAAACTCATTTCGGAACTTCGATGACCTTCATATCCAAATTATATACAGTCGTTTGTCGTCTATGTATTTCCAAACACGGGACAGGGGTGGCCCAATCGTCTAAGGTACCTCAGATACGTCCCTTAGGCCAGCAAGAATCCATGGGTACGAATACCAGATAATCTCTTAGTTTGACTTGCATTACTTCGTAGTGCCAATATACGATGATCAAGGATTCAAATCCTATTCGTCCTTGGTTTGTCAGCTCTTTAGTTTCACCAAAGATGTACACGTAAAAGATCTGCATCACTTTAGACTTAATGGCCTCCCACATTAACCTGACGCTTCTTGATATAACTCAAATACACGCGGAGTAAACCCAATTCGCTCACTATAAAGACAATGACCATGAAAAGAAAAATGTTGAAACAAATGATTACTCACTTTGACAGTAATGGATTGTTTCAGCTCTGTCCTAGTCTGACAACAGGTGCCAATGGCCGCCAAGTATGTATGGATCCCGTCTTCGCTTGCTGCAAACTGGGATACGACAACAAGGACGGCGTTGTACCTACCCCACCCTGAGGAAACAATGGCAACATTTCTCGCAACTTAATTAATGGTTAAATGACTTACGATGTACATATCCATGTTCTGTATGAATTGTATTATGATAAGTCCTTTGTAGTTTATCTATGTGATAGAGATAAACGTAATTTGATTTTTGTTTCTATTGTTTTGTTACACAGCTACATATACAATTCAAAGATTGATTGTGATTCTGTTGCTACAATAAATATAAAGTGACTAAACCCTTTCTGTATTCTTAAGAAATATCTGACCGCCTCCGTAGTCGGAGGTAGAGCGTCCGTACGGAGAGCGGAAGGTCCGAGGTTCGATCCCCAGCCGCGTCATACCAAAAGACGTTAAAAGATGGTACTTGTTGTTACCATGTCTGGCGCTCGGCATTAAGGGGCTAAAACAAGGACTGGTCGGCTCGGAGTCAGTATACTGTGTCTGAGTGGGGTATTCATGTTAAACTGCGGCATGGTATCTTAGTGTGCTAGCACTATAAATCGGCATCAGTCCGGACTAGTACAAGCAGACACACACACACACACACACACACACACACACACACACACACACACACACACAGAGAGAGAGGTCATATGAGTAAGTGAGTGAGTTTTACGACGCCCAGAAATGGGCTTTACTCATTGTACCCATGTCGGGAATCAAACCCGGATCTTCGGCGTGACGAGCGAACGCTTTTACCACTAGGCTACCCGACCGCCCAAGAGATCATATGAAAAAACTAACTGAAATAAAACAATATCTGGAATAACTTGCTTTGGTGACTGATCAAAAAGGAAAATGATACTACGTTATGTCCATTTTGAATTAATTCAATACATCGGTTCTTATCAATGACGCGTTTCTTCTTTCGTCTTGTCAAAAGTGATAATCTCACCCTATGTCTCAGTCCTACCAGTTCGGATGAAATCAATCCTTTGTGCCTGGTGGATGTGAATGACACATTACATTGTACCTCCTGTTTTTTTCTTCCTCTTTTCTTTACTAATATGTTAGAGATATCACATTCAAGTTGTACCCCACCAACCTTATAAAACATTATTTTGTGTGACATCTTCTCGAATTTGATCTGTATGTACATATCTATGTACATATGTACGTAAATATGTATATGCACCTGTATCTACATATGTATGTGTATTTAAATGTATATATGTGTGTGCATCTGTATATACATTTGTATGTGCATCTGTATATACATTTATATGTGCATCTGCATATACATTTATATGTGCATATGTATGTATGTATATTTGTAAGTATATATGTATGTGCATCTGTATGTACATATGCATGTGTATTTGTATGTATACATGCATGTGCATATGTATATACATTTATATGTGCATCTGTATATACATTTACATGTGCTTCTGTATATACATTTATATGTGCATATGTATGTACATATGTATGTGTATTTGTATGTATATATGTATGTGCATCTGTGTGTACATATGTATTTGTAGGTATATATGTATGTGCTTATGTATGTACACATGTAGGTGTATCTGTGCCTTAATGCTGATCTCACTTATCCATATATAGATTTCTTTGTGAAGCTGAATTTGTGGACAAAACTATAACAGCAGTTGATGGTCAGATCATACTTACGAGACATAATCAAATTCTCGTTAGTTATATGTTTATACGGGGTAATCATTAAATGTTTGGCTTATATACATCATATAAGCGTCAACGAGTCAACACAGTTGGATTTGCATGGGACAACCAAATGACATGAGACTTATCACTCAATCAGTGACATATGTTGTGATATTATACCAAAGCAAGCTACAGTGCATCATCCATATGTATCTTCATCAGTGTATTATATACGTTTCCAACGCCGTGCGCACATTTTGGTTAAACAACAGACATAAATTATATCTTTCTAATTCATTTTAAAACTCAACTTCACGTTTGTTTTATGTCCTGTTTATGCATATAGATTGCACGTGAAGTTGACATTATACTAAATAGTTTGGGTTTATTACCTTCACTGATTATAAAACGACTACACTGAATCTACTATCGTCTGACCTCCTTTAAAAAATTGCACCCACATCAACAAGATTTATTAATCAACAGGAAATGTCTGTGCAGGTCAGAGAGTGTCGTTGTCACCCAAGGCAATTGAAAGTTCTGTGTGACCAGCTTAGGGTATTGGTGCAGCTTGAATGAGTTAAAAGGAACGAAACGGGGATAGTCTGTTTTCATGCCTGGTTGCCTATGGCTACAGTGTGCAGAAATCCTTTAAAGTTATTGCTAACTTTTCATATTTGGGAACAAATTAAATTTAGAAGAATGGGAAAGGATCTTGCAGACGAAGGCGGAAATGCGTTGCTTTGTTTATATCATACTTGCATATCACCATATCTTTAGCATGCGACAATGTTGTTTTTGCTTGATACCTATGTTGGTAGCATGTTATGTTATGTTATGCATCCCAAGTGTGGGATTCACATAAGGGAGGTATATCGGAATAGGACATCTTGAATATTGTAACAACAATGCTCTGAGTTAAGAGATCAAATTGTAATGCAATGATTTATTGAGAACGTATTGCCATCGAGAACTAAAAACAGATTCTCATTGTCGAGTCGTTTTCTGATGATATTGGCATGTCCTTTAGGTTCGACAAATACAACCTTCTTCATCTGAAACGTCGCAAGGTACATGTACAAGAGGGAGGATCAGTCAGTTTACGTGGGGGAGGCGTTATTGACCATCTGGTGGAAGGTCAAGCCTATACCTACTTAGTAGTGCAGGTCAGGGACAAACTCCAGAATGCCCATATCAAGGAAAAATACAAACATGGACTAAAGAAAATATGTGAGTTCAGAGTTGAACGCTCGCAATAAAGTCAAAGCCATAAATACATATGCTGCACTCGTCCTTTCATTTTCTTTTGATGTTGTTGATTGGACGAAACAAGAAATTCAGGGAATTGACACCCTCACATCCTCACACGAAGAATCATGTCAGACAATGGATGCAACCACCCTCGCTCTTCCCTCAATCACTTATATTACCATAGAAATGAGAGGATGTGGTTTGATTAACGTGGTGGCTCGTCATGATAAACTTGCTTTGTTCACTTTTGCACACATTTATATTTCTGATGATCCTCTTGTGAAGCATGTCAAGACCCATGATGAAAACAAGGCATTCGACAGTTTCCTTAAACGAGCCAAGGATGTGGGACATAATCTCAATGTCAATGTTGATTTTTTTTATGGTTCTGTAGTGCTGGACGGCTCTCTGTTTGCTGCTCAGGACCAATTACTTCCCACTCGAAACTCTTAATGTGTGATTTTGCATCAAAATGTAAATATAAAATGTAGAATATGCAGTGAATTTAATGAGACTGTCCCAACACTTCTTCAGTGGATGCCCAGCTTTGGCACAAAAACAGGATCTTAAGCGACATGATGGCATGGCTCGATCATTCTATTACCGTCTTCGCCATGCTTGTGGTTTTGACACAGAGGTCCATCCATGGTACGACCCAGAATATGTAGAGGGTGTCATGGAAAATGATAAATAGAAAATTCTTTGTAATAGGCCCGTATATAGTCTCGGGCCTATCCAGGCCAACAAACCCGATCTTTTCCTTTTTGATAAATCCAATGAAATCATTTATATTTTTATCGAAATGTCACGCTTGCATACCAAGTACCAAGTTGTCCGACTCCCCATTGTTCTCGGTGCATTAAGTTTGGTATATCCCAATCTGTGGACTGACATTTGGAGAGTACCCAGGTTTGCTGCCAGGAATACAGCCCTTCTGACAATATTGGTAATGCAGAAGGCTGCAGTGTTGAGAAGTCTTCACATTCTGCGAAAAGTTCTTGGTGAGTTTGATTAGGCAGAGCTTCCTTGGAGAAGTCCCATTCACTGTCTGGGCTGTGTGTAGAGGGGGCAAGGGCCTTGAGCTGATGATGAGCCTAACCAGCCTGACTGTGCCAGGATCAACCAAACCCTCTTTGCTGCGTTAGTTATTTTAATCTGTAAATAATAATAATAATAATAATAATAATAATAATAATAATATTAATAATAGCTTATTACAGTTCCTTGTGTGTGTGTGAATATATATATATATATATATATATACCCTACCCCCGTCCAACGGAATTTCGCCGGCTGAATTGCTCGAGATCTTCAGTTCTCTTGGTCAGGTCCTGGCGAATACTCAGTATCTCCTGCCGTAGTGGTTCAAAAGTATACTTGACAATGTCATTGATAATTTCATTAGCAACAAGCATGAAGGACTGCTGAAATGTGCCATGAACCTGAGGTAGCATAAGAGCTTAAGTCAACTTAGCGGTTATTACATCCATCGATGCATTGTTGAAAAAGTCAAATCGTGCGGATGGATAAGATTGATCTTTCGTACCTGGTACTGTTGATGTTGTGTCTTCATGACTTGTGTTGGGCGTTCCTCGGGTACGGCGACTCTCGTTCACGTACTATATTTAGTCACTGTGACACCTTTATCACGAATGCCCACATCATCACGCATATGTTCAATACCACATCGTGGTCTAGTGGTAGAGCATACGCCCGGAGTGCGGGAGGTCCGGGGTTGAATCCCCGGCCGCTTCATACCAAAAGACGTCAAAAGATGTTACTTGTTGTTACCCTGTCTTGCGCTCGGCATTAAGTTCGGGTCGGCTTGGAGTCAGTATACTGTGTCTGAGTGGGGTATTCATGTTAAACTGCGGCACGGTATCTCAGTGGACTAGCACTATAAATCGACATCAGTCCGGACTAGTACAAGCAGCCATACACACACACACACACACACACACACACACACACACACACACACACACACACACACACACACACACACACACACACACACACACGCTATATAAATGCAATAATCTTGGACGCGACGTTAAACCCAATGTCACCTCACCACAATACCACATGTCCATCCTTTCAACGAGTGGTCTAACTTTGTGATTAGATGTTCATCTGCCTTACCGATAATATCCGCATTACAGGCTAATACCTCTGATCAAATAACCTCGAAATTCTTAAAATTGAAACCGCGCAATACAGTAATCAACAACTGACTGATCTCTTGATGATACATCTGTGAAGTCATTCAGAACAGCGTTTCTCCCATTGCGAATACCCGAGTCAATCAAAAAGTCTACAAAACGACATCAATATGCATTGCATGTGAAATCCACCTCAT